GACCATAAGTTTTATATATTTTACAATTTAATTTTATAAGTTTAATTTCTTTTATTTTGATTGTTATTTATTTGCAATATTATATTATTATTATTATTATTATTTATTTATGTTTTAATTATTATTTTGTTATTATTTTCATCTTAGTCATATAAATATATATTTAATTAAATAATAATTTTTATTTATTTAATATTAAAGAAAAGGGAAGTCTTAATATAATTGGATGTCCTATTCTGGTATTTTAAATAATTAAATATTATAAATATTATAAGTTAGTTTTATTTAAATTATTTTTAGGAAAAATTATTACATTTTAATGTTTATTTATTTTTTAAATACTAAGAAAATGCAGTCTTAAAATAACTGGATGTCTTATTATGATACTTTAAAAATAAATAAATATTCTGCTTATAAAAATATATATTTACTTCATTATTTTTAGTAAAATTATTATATTCTTATTAATATTTATTTATTTATTAATATTAAAGAAAATAAAGTCTTAAAGTAACTAGATATCATTTTCTGATATTTTTAAATAAATAAATCTCATATTTACAAAACCATATATATATATATATATATATAATATTTTCCTAATAAATATCATATTAAATTTGAAATAACACGAATGTAAATTAAATTCATATTCGAATTCTTAAATTCATATTCGAATTCTTAAATTCTATTATTAGAGATAATTTATAATCAACAGGTACTAATTTTGGGCGTTGTGGGGTGCTAATTCTTCCCTAAACGTAACCGACCACGAATCCCTTTTTATTTCTAAAAAGAACGAATTTTTAGTTAAAACACATATCAGTTTATCTTTTAACTGTGTTTTCTTAAAAACTTTTTTAAAAGATAATTTTTAGGTATTCGATCTACTTGACCTAAAAGGCCGATGACGACTCTCAAATTATTTTAAAATCCATTTATTTATATCATTTTTTCTGCTAAGTAAAAATTTATACCGGACGAAAACTGGTTACGAGACACTTTACCCTAAAAAAGACTTTACTAAGTAGTCTGTCCACACCGTTTACGTAATTCAAAACCTCTTATTTCACACACTAGTAAAAAAAGAAGATAAAAAAGAAAAGTCTAACGACCAGCAGCATTTAACCACCTCGTACAACCAAAATCCTATTATTGTCCCCTATTTTGTTTTTCGCTTAAAGAGCTTTCACTTTGCCCTTACAAAAATCCAATGGTTTCTTTACCATTCTAATTGGGGGCAGATTCAGACAAAATAATTAAATCCCAACTCAGGTAAAAATGATTGAAGCTTTCCCTTCCTTTTTGAAATTATTGTTCAGATCCGAGATTATTGGACAAATTTATTTGTTACTCAAGTTTATATAGCTACATGAATTTTCCCTAGTTTTTAGCTATTTCCCCTTTGTTGCACAATGGAGCTTTTCTTTAAAGGCTCTTCTAGGATTTAAACACTGCTGGATGTTTCTGGTTATAAAGTGTTAATGAAGTTTACTTTTGATTTAAGTTTCTGAAAAAAATAGAGAAAATTAAGTTTTCTGGGTTAGATAGTTATATTGTATTGTTGTTGCCGCGGTTTTGGATTCATTAGTTTCTGGGTTTTTAGTCTTAGTTACGGTCAGGCACTTCGTTTGCCTAGTCTGTCATGTGTGGAAATACCAAAACAGGATTCTGTGCTGTTTAAAATGAAAATTACTGTTACGGAATTGAATTTCGAAGGATGTGCTTGGAATGGAGGAACGAGAACAGCATCTTTTGCCCTTTGAACGGTGGGATCATTACTTCTTCATGCTACAATCAACTGTGTGCTCTCTGGAAATTGGAGTGGCCTTGTTTAATGGGGATTTTTGTAATTCATGTATATTATCATTTATACTTGATAGGCCTTACTAATTTGTGATCATCCATAGTTTTGCATATTGAATGATTGTTAATAAATTCCCCCCCCCCCTCCAACAAAGAAACTGTTGAAATTAACGGATGAACTCTTGGTAAGAAAAGAAAAATAAAATCAGAAAATTGTTATACGTTCCAATATCACTTTGCTGGGTCTTGGATCTGGATCCAGTTCTGACTATTTTTATTTCATATTCATTATCTCGCGGCTCTGGAAAGTGGTATTCTTGTCATGCACAACCATTTTACATTCTGGACAATGAAATATGGAACAGGAAAATAAAAGAAGGTACAGTGTGGGCTTTTGTTTGTGATGATGGAAAAAAATACTAGCTCTGGTGCAATCAAAGCCTATCTTGAAGAGCACCTATACTAACAATGTGATGTCTTCTAGTGAGTACTCGATGCATGGGATCAATAGTGATGGGTTTAAAGCACAGGACTCCGAATTTCTTAAAAGGTAGTTCCTTAACTAGGTCCATTTTTTTTTTTACTTAACAATCTTCCATGAGTATTCTATGTAAAGTATTATTGTTTTGTTATCATTTCAAGTAAGTATTGTCTTGTTAAGCAGGCACAGCTCTGAAACACATCTTGCTCCAAGTAAATCAAAAGAAGATGGAAATTATGATTTTCAAGGTCCAGAGGCTAAGGTACTAGAACTTTCTGAACATACCAACTGTGGAATCTAGAATCATGATGAGGCTTTGTGTGGTTCCCTCACATAAATTTTATGAACAGGAACTTCATTTACGAGTTGGTGCTCAAAAAGAGGAGATTCAACATCTTCGTGAACAAATTGCCATTGCATGTGTGAAGGTTTAACATTTCTGAAGGCTATTGCTTGCATGTAGATTAATTTCTATTTCCTTTTGGATGCAAAATGCTTCCAACTAATTTGATTGTGTGTTAGACTCTAACATTTCTGATTGACATACATAGAATCATATTAATCTGTATGGTCTCAGGAATTGCAGCTGCTGAATGAAAAATGTGTGCTGGAGAGGAAATTCTCTGACTTGCGGATGGTACGTTATAGTCTCCACATTTCTATGCATTAATTCTTTGTTTATTGTAATGGAATGACTAGGATTTTACACAAACTGATATAACAACATTTTTGTGTTACAGGCAATTCATGAAAAGCAAAATGAATCCATCACTTCTGCTTCAAATGAATTAGCTCGCAGAAAAGGTGACCTTGAAGAAAATTTAAATCTGACTCATGATTTAAAGGTGAAACATAGTGTCTCTTTCTGAAAATAAAATATGTTCTCTTTTATAATAATATTTGACATCTTTGCTGAAGCCATCTAAGCTTAAACTGCCAAAGCCTTATTCTGCAAATCAGTAAAAACTTACGGAGCCTCAAAAACTTTCCGCAGAGATGATAATTTTCTAGGTTTGAGTTTGAAGGTAATGGACTAAATCACTAAATATGCTCTCTAATAGTTGTGATTTGGCCAATGGACCTGTTCTAGCTGCGATGATACCTCACTAAACCAAAATGTTTACTCAATATGCTTAGCAACATAGTTGATCCATCAATTGGAATAGTTTCAATCACCACATATTCAGAAAAGAGAAAAAAAATTAAGCTTTCTATCAGTCTCTAGTTGATCTTTAATCCTGACTTATGTAAATGACAATTGACAAATTTAAGAATGGGGATTCACCTTCTATAATTTACAGTGATGCACAATTACATGGTTTGAAACATATATTTACAATTCAAATAATCGATAAATCACGGTGGTGGCGGTGGTGGCGGGACATACGGTGACACTATCCTATTTACTCTATCAATTTATTATTTTATAGATTAGCTTTATTTTATTATTATTAGAGCAAAGAACTACCTGGTCGGTGGCACTACCCTAGTTGTGAAGGAAACTGAAAACAATTGTTCATCCGGAGAAGAAGACAGACAGTGCAAACAGAAGAGAAGGAGAAGGAGCAGCCGAGGAGAAGAGAAGGAGAACTACCTGGTCGGTGTTGGCGGTTGTGACGGCCAGTGAAGAAGAAAATCACGGTGGTGAGAGACGTGCAATAGAGAAAGGATATTAGGGATTATGTTTGGTGATTGTATTGTATCGTGAGTGGTTTTTTTTTTTGTAAGTTGGGTTTTTAATATTAAAATATAATAATTTATTAAAATAGTAATCTAAAAACGAAAGGCGTAAAGGCTCTGCGCCTTGCGCCCAAAGCCCAGAGGCATGCGCCTCTTGTGTCTCTCACCTCGCCTCATCCTTGGCGGGCGCCATCTTCAGTGCCTGGCTGCGCCTCGGGCACGCCTTTTAAAACCAAGTCTCGCCCTTGCGCTTTTTATATCGTTTATTTAAGATGCTTATAAATTTGATGAAGAGAAATCTTTCTATGAAATGAAACAACATAGTGAACAGGATGTCATTTGGGGGACAGGGTGGTGGAGTCACTTTTGCATGGTAACCTTTATAAATCCCTGTTTCATTGCTATTCACTGCTACAAGTGTATGCACAAATGGTGGAGTCACTTTTGCATGGTAACCTTTGTAAATACCTGTTTTCATTGCCATTTACTGCTACAAGTGTATGCACAAATTAGAGGACAGGCTACAGTTCCCCACGGGGTAAAACCAAATTTATTGTTATCATCACATTGATGGCTTATGTTACAAGAAAGATTCACTCACTCAGTTGACCATATGGCTAGAGAATTGCATGTGATATAATTTGTGAAAAAAGTAGTTATTGTTAAGGTAGTGCTATTTCATTGTAATTACAATTTGCTCACTACCCATCAGAGAGGTCATAATAGTCATGGAATCTTCTAGCTGGTACATATTGAACAACTTTCCAGTGACTCCAAACCAACTTGGTGATTTTCTAAGTGTTCTCTTAAACGGGTACAAGGTGTTACGCCTGTATGCACTTTGGGTATTTGGAAGAGTCTAGATATCAAGCCATGTTGTCAAAATTTCTGAGTTTCAAGGGAAAATTCTAACTATTCAGTCTGTTTTCGTGTGGGTGTTTGTATTTTTGCAATGTTCTTGCTTGCTCTCTTGCATTCCTATTCTCTCCCTTTTCTTGTAAAAAGAAGTTGTTAACGGTATCACTTTTCTCAGGCTGCGGAGGATGAGAGATACATCTTCATGTCATCATTGCTTGGGCTATTGGCTGAACATGGTCTTTGGCCCCACGTTGTAAATGCGTCTACCATTACCAGCAGTGTAAAGGTATGAACTTGATAAAATGTTGGTTTTCGTTGTTTTGCAACTAGGTGCTTATGGTCATTGGGTTTCAATAACACTGATAAGGCCATATGAAGTACTGATTTAGGCCTACCCCTGATTCTTAGTAAAATTCTGTTTGACTAATCCCATCAGATGACTGAGGGTCATGCACAGGTCACATTAAAAGAAACTGTATTGTCAAGTGCTCACCGTTGTGCATTCTATCTAGGGTGTAAATCAGACTAGTATTCACAAGCTATTCTAGTTGGGCTTGAAAAAACTTGAATTCAATTTAGTATTAAACAAGCCGAGCTCGAGATCAAGTACAGTGAGCTATAGATCAAGTCAAATTCAAGCACCATAATACTCGTCTCGAATGGCTTGCAAGCCTAATCGAGCTTTTCAATAAGTAATTTAAATATTTTATATTATTTAAATTACATAAATACCCTTATTTTACTTGCAAAAGACAATTTGGGTTTGAGCTCGAGCACGAGCATAAATAAAAAAGAGTTTAATCAAGTTCGAGTAAAAATTTGGTAATCAAGCTTGAGTAGCTTGATTATATGTCTAGTTGAGCTTGACCTTATTTTTTGACATTCGATCGAGTTTTTGTTGAGCATCGAACTCCGAATATTGAGTTGAGCTGAAGCTTGAGCTTGCCACTGTTTGGGATCGGCTCAATTACACCCTAATTCTATCTGACTTCTCCCCCATTAAAATTTTAAGAGTGAAAACAAGTAGCAAAAGCAGGACAAGCTGGTACTTGCACAAGTTACAGAACTTTACCCATATACTTACTAAGTGAAATTTATACTCGCTGCTCACCATTTATAATCTCTCAAAGGTTCTCATTTGATTTCCTATGAGTTATGGCCTCCTATGATTATTTTCAGTTTAAGAACATCCCTTGGCTACGGTCATCGATTTGCCTCTTGTGTACCTTGTATCTTTTTTTTGGTCTATTGGGTAACTGTCAATTAAACAAGCATGGTCTGATTGCATTGCATTGTAGTACAAGGTGTAAAAATAAAACCACCAAGACCCTATTTACGACATGTTCAGCTTAAATGCTATTATAGGCTTATTTTTTAGATAATCATTAAATCTTTTGAAATCATAAGGACAGTTCAGCTAACATTAAGCCTTTATACTACAGACTTAGCTTTGAAAGGCATATGAGTTATAGGAAGGACATATGAATAGAATGGAGTTTCATAAAATGAGGCTTTGAAGGGCATTATATGTTCTTTGCATAATTAAGACCATGTTATCAGGACTATAGTTTTTTTCATGTCGCTCATAGGCTATGTTGTTCTTTTCCTCTCCAAGTGTGATTTACACAAACTAAATATTCAGTCCATTGAGAACTTCCTTTTAGTTTTGTTGGACCATTTAGTGTTGTGCTTTATTTAGCAGGTTGTATTCCTCACTTTGAGTAATAAGTTTCGACAACTAAGAACTTACAATCTTGTATATATTTGCAGTACCTACATGATCAGTTAGAATGGAAGATCAGAACTTCGCATGTAAGTGTACCATTCTCAGATTGCCTATATTGTTTATGATATGTAGCTCCTAGATTTTATTCTACAGTGGAGAAACTTCATGTAGAAAATCACAATCGCCAGAAAGTTAAGGTCTTGATCAGAGAAATTTAGATTTGTGGATGATAAACCATTAATTTATTTGTGGCATAGGAAGGCCTCATTTAAAAACCCCTTCATAACCTTCAAGCAGCAATAGTGACTCAACAAACATTGGAAGGAGGAAAAGAGTGCCTTAGAATTTTATTGCATAAATACCAAGTACATAAAGAATACACTACCACCAAAATCCATTGGCAACCATCTCAACAATATGCTACATTACACTACATAAACGCATCAATGATCATACCCTACTTAAAAACTATCTCCTAAAAACACTCGACCAAAACAATCAACCACCGCACTATCGGATTCCAAAATAAGCCTTCGATTCGCCAACATCTCCGACTCCAAAAAAAAGCATCAACCCTCTCTTTACTGCCAACAATTCTGCCATAATATGAGGGCCAAAGTCAACTCTTTCTGAGAATGATCCCAACACCATCCATATTCACTTTAACGAAACCGATAGGAGGTGGAGACCAGCTCACTAACTTTGAAGAAATCCTTTCAAACTCGAAACACGATCAACTAATGCAAGATCACCCACTAGGCTATCAAAAGAAACCAACAATTTTGGAAATTTTGAAGTAAACCATGCTGCCACTCTATACCTCGTGAGAAAAGATAACATGGCATAATCCAATTTCCCTTTGTTAAAAACAATCTCATTCCTCATTTTCCAAATCGACCACAAAACGGCTCCTGGGATGAACCCCCATACGCTTGATTGAGGCACAAGGTCAAACCAAACGGAAAACAATGTTGCAAGACACACCGGAATCGCAAAGGAAATCACCCAAAGATGCAAAAAGCTTATCCATAATCCCCATGACACATTACACGAAACAAATAAATGAGAAAAAGTTTCCTGAACCAACCCACAAAACAGACAAGATGGATCTTCAATTCCTTGCACCCCATGTTTAATTAACTCTACTTTGATTGCTACCTTCTTGAGCACCACCTGCCGAACAAAAGATTAAACCCGAGGAGGAGCCACCCCAAACAACACATTTCTTTCCCACAAAAAACTATCATCTGAGTTTTCAAGAAGGATTATAAGACAAGATTTAACTGAAATGCGACCATCACCTTCTCCTGACCATAAAAGGCTATCATCAATAAACGAAGAAGGATTGAAATTATACAACAATGAAATAAGCTCATTTCATTGCAGCATCTCCCAATCGGCAAGATTTCTTCTCATGGAAATGTCCCAAAAACAGCCTGACGAGTTTGATTACCTGAAATCGGCAATCTTTCCCTCCTTGTTATTCGATAGAGTGAACAATCGAGGAAACCGTTCTTTCAATGGAACTCTATCCATCCAAGCATCATGCCAGAACATAATTGAGTCCCCATTGCGCGCCTTCATTATAAAGTTACTCCGCAAACATACCTCAAAATCATCATCCGAACAACAATTCTTAATGACACCTTTCCATATCCAAGATGCTTTGTAGGAGGCCGAATTTTCCATCCCTATTGAATTCAAATCAATTTTGTTATTGCAACAAATAATCCTTTTCCACTAGGAGTTCTCATTGGAAAATTTCCACATTCGTTTTCCCAATAATGCTCTATTCATAAGCTCCAAATTTAGACCCCGCCCCAAAAAAAAGCCTTAGGCTTGCAAACGGTAGACCGATTTACCCAATGAATTATGCTTTTAGCACCCGAATCCCCCCAAAGAAAATTTTCCATAATTGAATTAAGTCTCTGCAGTACACATCTCCGCATTCTGAAAATTTACATGAAATATATCGGCAAGGAGCAAAGAACCGATTTTATCAACACAATTATACTAGAAATAGACATTGAAACTGTCTTCCACCCAGCCAATTTCTTGTAGAATTTTTGAATAATCGAATCCCATAATGATATTGAATTTTCTTTGCCCCAAGAGGTAACCTCAAATATTTGTTGGGAATGAACCCACTGGTCACCCTATTGTAGCAGCCCACTCGCTAATGACCCCGTCGTTCACGTTGATTCCGAATAAGAACTCCTGCTCTTGGATAAATTAATTTGCAATCCAGAGATCATCTCAAAGATCAGAAGCATCCTTCTCACATTCTTCAGCTCTCCGATCGAAGCTTTACAAAAAAACAAATCGTCTGCAAATTGGAGGTGAGAGAGTTCAAAGGAATCACCCTGACTTCCAATCTCAAATCCTCTAAACAAGCCTAATCTCGCAGCTTTTGACAACATCAAACTCAATAATTCACCGACCAAATTAAAAAGGAGAGGAGAAAGAGAGCATCCCTGTCGAAGACCCCTCGCGATCCAAACTCATCCGAAGGAGTGCCATTCACTAAAAGACCAAGATTGAATCCGTAGTCAGGCACATTTTCATTCAAGATCTCCACCTCTGTCCAAACCCCATGCAATCCATGATTTTCAGTAATAAATTCCAATCAATAGTCATACGCTCTTTTGAAATCAACCTTAAACGCTATTCCTTCAAGGCCTTTCCTTCTCCAACAATCAATCCCTCATGTAAGGATCATGTCTTTCTTCATGCTATAACATTTCTATATTTATTTAAAATATAAAAAAATAGATAAGTATCTTTAAAAAAACAGATAACAAGAACAAGGAAATTTAAATTTTGTTTGACAATAGGGAAGTTTGTGTTGATATATCACAAGTAAATATGTAACGTCTACTTATTCTGATCTCACAACAACTAAATTTGAGTTCAACTCTAAAAATAAATCCATTATTTAATGCTACATGAAATGGATAGGTTTTATGTTAACATTAGAAAACTTGGGAGTTAGCATAATTGATGAGTCTTCTTGAAAAAATTAAAAGACTCTTATCCTGTCTTTATTCTTGCTATAGCATTTCTTTATTTATGTAACAACAACAACAAAACCCTATTCCCATATGCAATGGGGTAAGGAGAGGTAAGATAGTAGGCTGCCCCCAATGCCAGGTTGAGTGCAGCTTCCGTGGAAGACCTCCGGCAATCAGAAAATTAAAATAAAGATGAAATGCAATGCATGTATAAATAAATAATACATAAATAATAGATTGAACGGTCTTCATATGCGCGACTGTAATGGGAATTAATCCATGCATATAAATCCATGCGTAAAAATCTCTGCATATAGACAGAAACGTAAGATCTAACTAAATTTAAAGAGAGGAAACCTGAAGAGAAAATGATACACAGAAGTCAACGATAGCAAGCTACGAGAAGGGATAAAGTCAAATAGGTTAACACCTAAACTAAGGTCACACTACTCCGCTACCCTAGTCTTAAGCTTTCATAATTTCCAATGACAGAAACGTATATAAAGTAGAAGTCATGAAAATTACTACAAAGGCATTAAAAAGGAGACAAAGATGTTACACCCTATGGCTGTGACCCGCACTACTCGGCTACCTTGGTCTTAAGTCTCCATACTTTACTATCAAAGGTCATATCCTCAGTAAGGGCTAAATCCTTCAAATCAGATCTCAAGCAGTCTTCCCACTTCCGCCTTTGTCGTCCTCTCCTTTTGGCACCGTCGACTGTAATCGACTCTACCCTCTTGACCGTATTCGAAAGTTGTCGCCTAAGGACATGCCAAAACCACCGTAGTCTTTCCTCCCTCAATTTTTCGGATACAGGCACCACCCCCAAGGACATCCTAATAGCAGAGTTTGGTGTCATGTCCCACAGAGTCTTACCACATGCCCATCGAAGCATTCTCATTTATGCGGCCTCCATCCTTCTTACGTGATCCTTCTTGATTGCCCAACATTCCGATCCATACAGCAACGCTGATCTTATTGCCATTCTATAAAATTTTCCCTTAAGTTTTAGAGACACATTCTTGTCACACAAAACTCCAGTAGCAGCCCTCCACTTTAGCCATCCCGCCTTCATACGGTGTGTAACGGTATCATCTTTACCCCCATCTTTATGTATCATAGACCCTAGGTACTTGAAACAATCCTTTGAGGGGAGAACGTGTCCTTCTATGCATACTTTTACATCTTCATCGTTTTGGTTCCCACTGAAGTTTGAACATAAATACTCTGTCTTTTCAATATTGATCTTTAAACATTTTTCTTCCAGAGTAGTCTTCCAAGTAGCTAGTCTACTATTCAGCTCAGTTTTTGTTTCAGCAACTAGGACAATGTCGTCAGCGAAAAGCATACACCATGAAACATGGAACACCGTCTGGTGTCGCACAAAAGATGTCGTCCATAATCAAGACAAAGATATAAGGGCTAAGAGCCGACCCCTGGTGGAGTCCGATTTCCACCGGGAATGCCTCGGTGTCGCCAACTGTAGTCCTGTCGTAAGTAGTAGATCTACAGTACATATCATGAATCGCCTGGATATATGCAGTTGGGATCCGTCTCATTTCCAAGGTCTTCCAGATCGTATCGCGGGGAACTCTATCATACGCCTTCTCAAGGTCAATGAACGCCATGTGAAGTTCTCTATTTTTTCCCCTATATTTCTCCATAAGCCGTCGAAGTAGATGAATCGCCTCTGTAGTAGACCTTCCTGGCATAAAGCCAAATTGGTTTTCCGAAACCCTAGTAACTTGTCTCAACCTAGCCTCTATCACCCTTTCTCATAGCTTCATGGTATGGCTGAGTTGTTTAATACCTCTGTAGTTTCCACAACGTTGGGATCTCCTTTATCTTATAGATTGGTATCACCGTAGACTCTCTCCACTCCTCTGACATCTTGGCAGTCTCTAAAATATTAAAGATGTTGGTCAACCACTTTACTCTCTCTTCGCCTAGGGCAAACCACACAGTGTTAGGAATTTGATCTGGACCGACAGCTTTGTCCCTCCCCATCTTTCTAAGAGCCATTTTGACTTCTTCAAACCCAATCCTACTTGTAGGGCAGTCATTGGCCGTAGTATGATGGTCGGCTGACCCATCAACGGTACTATCTTTACAGGTAGAGGCACCTTCATTAAATAAGCCAAAGAAGTAACTACCCCAAGTCCTCTTAATATCATGATCTTTCACTAAAAGAACACCATTGTTGTCCTTAATAAACCTAATGCTACCTAGATCATTTTTCCTATTTTCCCTGGATTTTGCAAGCCTGAAGATGCCGTTTTGTCCTTCCTTGGTGTTTAATCTCTTGTACATTTCCTCGTATGCCTTATCCTTTGCTTTAGCCACTGTTTTCTTGGCTTCCCGCTTTACCTCATTGTATCTTTGTTTAGCTCTCAATCTTTCTTCGTCGTCATTGCATTGTAGGAACTCCTTGAAGCAAGTTTGCTTTGTCTTCACCTTAGTTTGGACTTCGTCGTTCCACCACCATGATTCTTTATGTCCGTTGACCTTACCTGTCGACAACCCAAGGTGGTTTTTACTCACCTCTCTGATGGAATTTGCCATGTTTTTCCATAACATATCTGCATTATTGCGTTTGTAGTTCCAAAACTTGTATTAGACAAACTTACTCCTAAAGTAATCAGCTGTCGCTCCATGTAAGTTCTTCCAAAGGATCATAGGTTTACCAAGTTTAGCCCTCCTATGAGTGCTCCGTCCGTGGCGTACGCGGAACACCAAACTAACAATCTGTTGTGATGCGCATGCCTCTTCGGGATCACCTTACAGTCAAGCAAGCCCATCGATCCCGATGTGAACCAAGATGTAGTCGATTTGGATACAATGTCCCCCTCTATGGAACGTAATTAAGTTCACATCTCTCTTTTTTAAAGGAGTTAGTGACCACCATATCGTGTGCAGTAGCAAATTCAAGCAACGTACGCCCCTCCTCGTTCCTACTACCAAAATCGAAACCCCCATGAACACCGTCATACCCGTCAATTGCACTACCTATATGTCCATTGAAGTCTCCCCTATGAAAACTCTTTGGTCCTCCGGAATGCTCCTAAGTACATCTAACTGATCCCAGAAGCAACGTTTCTCCTCCTCTCCTAGGCCAACGTGTGGGGCGTACACTGAAAGGACATTCACCACTTCTGCTTCTACAATAACCTTAATCATCATGATCCTATCCCGGTATCTACAAACTTCAACTATTTTCCTTGAGCCTAGCGGATACCAAGATACCCACTCCATTTCTAGCGTTATCTACGCCTGAATACCACAACTTGAACCCATTACACTCTCTGGCACGAGCTACCTAGTCTCCTGAATACATGCAAAATCTATTTTCCTATTACTAAGTACGTCGGTCAACTCCAGCAGCCTAGCATTTAATGTGCCTACATTCAACGAACAAACTCTAAGTCTAGTCTCCTTGAAATCACTCTGTCGAGCCCTCCCCCTATACGCCTTATGGGATCTAAAAGGAGGACATGACCTCAAGTAATCATTTATAGCCGAAGCTATGAGGAACTATGAAAAAGGGAATCCAAAGAAGACAGAAGGTGCACCAATAAAACGCTAGAGAATTGAGGGGTACTAATCACGTATCCAAAACGAACTTACAACACAATTTAGGGAGGAAACAATATCAGAAAGATTCTATAACAGGTAAGCAGCCAAATAAAAACCAAAACTCAGACAGAATACATATAAATAATCATCTAAAATTAGTCAAAAAATTGAAATCCAAAAGAAAAATTAAAAATAATACTCTATCAATCTATTTATCTTCAAATGCAATAACTTGAACCCACAAAAGGAACCATAAATTCACCCCAAAAAATGCATGCATAGAGAACATAAAAATAACAGAAAAACGTAGATCTGATAAAAGATTCTCTAGGTAAATAAAATTTTGAAAGAGAAACTATCCTGCTAAAGTGTAAATAACGGGAATTAATTATAGGAAAATATGGGGGTTTACCAGACGAATATAACTGATTATCAGAGAAGAAGACGATATTTTATTTATGTAACAACATGAAGAAATCAAATAACTAGAACAAGGAATATAAGGTTTGCTTGACAATAGGGCATATGTTATAGACAACTAAGGGGTTAGCATAGTTGGTTTCTTCTTGAAACGACATGAAAGAAACTTACAAAGATCTAGGTTTGAATTATTCTTATCTATGTAATCGTTGAAGCTTTAAGATTTCTGTATTCTATGTACATGTCCGTGCAAGCACAGATGCATGGACTATTGATGTGGCTATGTAGAGATGTGTGTTTATATGCGGGTAGCAACTCTTTACCTGATTTCTGTTTCTTGCGTCAAAATTTTCTTTAATGAGGCATTATCTTTAGGCAACTTATAAGACTGATAGGATTATCATTGGTGCCATTATTTTGTAGAGCAGATAGCCTCATTGATTTAATTATATCACAGGATAGAATTAGAGAGTTGAGTGGTGTTCACGGAACTCATGCTAGAGGCAGATCTCATGAAAAGATAGGCCAAGTTCTGGCATTTTGATGATCAAAATCCTCATAGATCCACGGTACTATTTGCATGTAATCTGCCAGATTACCATCTTTTTCTATTGCTGATTCTATTATATCAACTTTGATTCTCCTTCATTGTGTCCATAATGTGTTAAATATACTTTTATTTCTCTTTACAGGCTGGTCCGGTTTCTCTCCAACTAATCATACCCAGATGAGCAACATCATATGCCACCTGAGAATATGATGAGATACATGCATGATAATGATCACACTGCAAAAAATTTAATGTTCAATGATCTGGGCAACAACGATTGAGCAATGGCACTGCACAGGAGTTCTTGTTCAATTCTGATAGGTTTGGATCACTAACCCAGTTTTCTTGTGGATGTTATGCTTTTTTTGATACATTATTAATTGACATTTTCTGGTGACTCTTGAGATGTGACGAAACATATCCATAGCCTTTCTTTTGGGTACAATTCCACCATTATTGTCCTTGCTGTGTGCTTTCTAAATTGTAAAAGATATTAGCAATAATTGTTGTGAGCAGCTTCTCTCCCAAGCTATCATTTCCTGTGATAAAGGATGTAGATTGCTACTTGAGGGATTAAATTAACGAGGACCTTATTCATTCTGTAATCTGTATTGACATATTTTTTCCATGTTATTTTTTATAAGCAAATTGCTCTGGCCATCCTGTGTGTTCTGTAATTAATATGCCCTGATATGAGCGCCATTGATATTGCAAATATGAATAGTGAAATTTGATTGCAAATGCAATTATATCCACATATTGATTTTCCTTGTTCAAAGGCATTATAATTTAAGTTTTTGTGTATAATACAAAGCGATTTGTTCATTTTGTGCAAAGATTGCTTTCATTTGATTATAATTAGAGATCTAGTATTGCTTTTCTTCATACTTACCTGTTAATTATTTTCTTACGGTGGTCCTGGGACTAATCCTGATAGTGCATTTGATAGAGGTTTTGTAAGAATCGGATCTGAGGATACAGCCAATGATGTCTTGTATCAGCCTGATGAGATGGCCTCCCAAGGTTCTGAAGGTGATTTACATTTTATATGTGAAATTATGATCTTTTTATAGCATCTAATACAACTTATTTGAATTCAGACGGGCCTGGAATTGAGGGTTTCAGATAATGGGGATGCAACACCAGGAGAAAAGCTTCTAGGATGCGGCTTTCCCGTACGAGGAACTACCCTTTGTATGTTTTCAGGTGAAATTTCTTGGACACATGAAAAATTGACATTTTTGAAAATTTCCTTTTAATACATAAGGATTAATCTTTCATATGCTGACAATGTTGTTTGCACTGCAGTGGGTACGTCATCTTCAGGATGGCACCAGACAGTACATTGAGGGTAAGCATGAAAAATATGACCTTTTTCTGCGTTCTTAGTGTAGATATTTTGTTACCTTAATTTTTTTTTAAATTATCCAGGAGCTACAATCCAGAATATGTGTCACAGCTGACGATGTTGATAACTCATTGCTGTTGTATGTGGATGACCAAGGCCGTCAGGTACATGCAGCAATAATTTTCATTTTTTTATCATTAATAGAAAAAGTGCATGCATTCGGTTTTTAGTTGTATGTAAACTCAATCAGCAATTGTATGGAATATAACTTGTTTTATTTTCAGGACACCAATGTCTGAAATTGAACATATTTTTAGTACATTTTTCTATAAGAAAATGGGCCTCGTTAAACCCCCCTCATAACCTTCGGGTTACATGAGTACCCAACGGACATTGGAAGGAGGAAAGAGTGCCCCAGAATTTTACTACTAAAAACAAAATACACCATGGTTACAACCAAGATATTACAAACCTGCACCCATGGACCTAAGCCTCCCCTCACTCGAAACCACAAAACAAGCCAACTATCCTATGCCAGCTTTGTCTAGGCTATCCGCTTCCCAATTAAAACATCTCTTAATATGCCTAACAATGACATTACAATCCCTTACACACTTGGCAATTTCGTTAACTAGGCTAGATTCAAAAGCTGACAACCGCCTGATTCCTTAATCCACTCCAAGCAATAACAGAGTCACTTTCCAAGATTAACCGCCCCTTATCACCCATCCTAGTCTAGAAACAGAGATAAACCAGCTTGAATGGCTTTTAGCTCAGCTACTATTGCAGGGCCAGGACCAGATTGGGACGAGAAAGATCCCAGCAACACGCTGTCGCATCCCTGAGAGACCACCTATGCCACTTCTTTTCCAATCCCAGCTGACCTCCCCGTCTACATTAACTTTGAAGAACCCAGCAGGCGGGGCACCAAGAAGACGGGGAAGATTTACTCTTCTTTGACGAGCTGCAGTGATCAGCCAAGGTTAGATCCCCAACAAGAAAATCCATCCGAACAGAGGGATTAGAAGCCTTAGCCGAAACCAAGCAGCACCCTGTACCTAGATAAGAAAAAACAAGAGTCTGATCCAAACTCCCCTTTTCAAAAACCAAATGATTCCGACATTTCCATAACGACCACATTACAGCCCAAGGATATAATTCCAATTTTAGACTTAGGAAGCAAAAACGCCCAAGAGGACAAAAAATCTTTGGGTTACTAGGTAAAACAGCAGCTAAATTCCATAATTTCAAAAAACGAGTCCAAAACCCCTTCGCTATATTGCAAGTAAAAAGAGGTGCAAAATAGATTCCGCCTCGCTACCACATAAAGGGCAATAATATCCTCGATCCCATTGACCCCGCATCTAATAAGTTCAGTTTTAACCGCCAATTTATGATGGAGAACTTGCCAAAGAAACGCCTCCACTTTAGGAGGAACTAACCCAGTCCATACCAACTCCGACCACGGCAAATAAGAACGACAATCTAGACACTAATTTACAAGAGTTTACTGAGTAAACCATCCCCATTCCCTGTCCACAAGCAACAATCATCCACACCCGAGCCAATATTGACATTCCCCAACAACAACTAACTCGAACCATTGATTAACTTCCCAATCCAGCAGATTCCTTCTCAACTGGACATCCCAACACCAACCACTTGTACTGAAAAACCAACTCCGAAACTACCCATCTTTTAAAACCGAGAGTGTAAAATGCCTAGGGAATCTACCTTCAAAGGAACGTGCACAACCAACACTCGTGCCAAAACAGAATTGAGTTCCCCTTCCCCACTTGAATCCGAAGATGATTACGGAAAAGTAGGCCAAACGCATCATTCGACCAGACATTATTGATCACTCCCCTCCAAAGCCAAGAGGAGTTGGGGGCACAACCTGACTCAAGGAAATCAACCTATTGTCGAAATTATACTTGCAACACATACTATTTTTCCACCAAGATTCCTTTTCATTCCCAAATTTCCAAACCCACCTCCCAAGAAGAGCCCTATTCATAAGGTTCAAGTCATGATGCCTTAAGGGAAGACTAATAGTAGAAAGTGATTGCAAATCAACAGTGGATTGGATTCTATCGCTTGCTACTGCTCCTTCCTTAGTACCCTAGTCATGGAAATTGTGTCCCTCGTATTAGCTAGGGCGTTTATTGTGAGATTGATTCCTAGGTGATGTAACTGGGAGGCTGATAAATTAGCTAAGGAGGGGATTGGGTGATTGTAAGGGTATTTTCTAGGGAGCTTAATGTGTTTTTCTAGTGTGCTGTTGTCTATGGTGTATTCATTTACTCTTATGTAGTTCTGACGTATCAATAAAATGAGGTACTCTTTTCCTCCTTCTGCTAGTTGCCTCATTATAAGTCACTATGAGGAGGTTTTAATGATGCCTCCTACTTGTATAAAAAAATGATGCCCAGACCCCCATAATCTTTGCTTTACATATTGTCGACCATTTCACCCAATGAATTCGGTTTCTCTGTGCCATACCCCCCAGAAAAATTTAGCAAAATAGAGTAACTTTCTCCAAACACACAACATCCTAAACAGTGACATAATAAATGGGCAAAGCATTGAACATAGACTTCACTAAAACAGCCTTCCAGCAAGAGATAACGTGGCTGCTTTCCACCCCACCAATTTTTGATAAAACCTCTTACAAATCGGTTCCCATTGTAATGCCAAATTCTTCCTAGAGCCAAGAGGAAGCCCTAGATACTCAATCGGGAGAACACCCACGAACACCCAATCGAAGCTGCCCATTCTTTGATAATTGAATCTTCAATTTAAGTTCAATTGAAGCCCCGAGCACATTTCAAAAATAAGCAAAACTCTCTTATCAGTTGACCCTCTGCCGCATTACAAAAAATTAATGAATCATCGGCAAACTGCAAATGAGATAGCGAAAATGATCTATTAGGTCTTCCGATCTGAAACCCATTAAAAAGCCCCAACTTCGCCGCCTTGGACAGTAAGAGACTTAGCATCTCTCCCACTAAATTAAAAAGCAATGGCGATAACGAGCAGCCCTGGCGAAGACCCCTTGATATCTTGAAAGCTTCCATACGAGATCCATTTAACTAAGACTGAAATAGAGGCCGAAGATAAGCATTGGTAAATCCAAGACTGCCAGCAATGCTCAAATCCCATATATTCCATATTTTCAGCAAAATCGACCAATCCACTGAATCGTATGCTCGTTTCAAGTCAACTTTAAAGCCACACCTTTCAACCCTTTTTCCTCCAATAATCAATGCCCTCGTTGGCTATGAACGAATAATCGAGAATTGTCTCCTGGAATAAAAGCAAACTGTGTTGGACTAATAAGGGAATCAATCCATGTCCTTAATCTTCTTGCTTACACCTTGGACACAATCTTGTATAGACCACCAACCAAGCTAATTGGCCTATACCTCCATACTCTCCGGGTTGGACTGCTTTGGAATCAATGTAATACACGAATGGTTGACCCTTTTTTCCCACTTCTTCCCCAAATAGAATCATTAAAAAACTTAACAATGTCATCCTTCAAATGTGGCCATAATCTCTTAAAGAAGCCCATGTTCAACCCATCGGGCCAGGCACCTTGTTACTATCTGACGATGCAATTGCCTCTTAGATCTCCTCCTCTGAAAAATTCCTTTCAAGAAAGGAACATTGGGCCTCAGAAGTTTCGCAAAATCCAGATCAATGTCCTCCACTTCTAGAGTAGGCTTCAAATTGTAGAATTCTTTGAAATACCCAAAAACGTTGGATTTAATTTGGTCCGGGTCTGAAACCAAGCTGCAATCTACTTTCTGAATCTTCAAAGCTTTAATTATGCACCTATTAGTAGCACACTGGTGAAAATACTTGGAGTTTCTGTCACCATCATGAATCCATTTTGCCCTGGACTTCTGGAACCAGATTTGCTCTTCTTTTTTACAGATCCCACAGTACCTTCGCATTCACTATGGAATCCATCGAAACAGAGTCAGACCCTTGCTGTAGAGCTAATTAAGTTTCCGAGATGGCCTTTTTCTAACTTCAAAATCCTTTTCGGCAGCTTCAGGTAATTATTTTAGACCAACTCTTAATCCCTTTCTTCAAATCATTTAGAATATGCACTATCCCTTCTTTTATCCTTTATCTCACTGATTGACGACCCACCAATTCTTGAAAGCCCTCCTCCATCAAGTAATTAAACAATTTAAACAGTTTTGGCCCCCAATAGTCTCGTGACTTTCCAATAAGATGGCATTATTTTTTTGATAGGAATTGAAGGCCTCGTTAAAAAACCCCTTCTTGATTAAAGGAGCTATAGAGAAGCTCCTTAATCAGCGGAAGGAGGAAAAGAGTGCCTTAAGATTTCATTAACCAAAAGAAATTACATAAATACACCAGATAAACACCTCCAACATAACCAAAAAACCAAAAAAAACACCCGAAGACACCCCTAAACAACGGAACAGGCTCAGCCTAAACCATCAAAGGTACTAACACAGTCTTAATTTTGGTTGAGCTGTAAACCAATCTAGCAACAGCAAAGAAGACTTAACGCCTAAACAATTCCTGGAATACAACACAAAACAATACAACAAAATGCCTGAAACAATGAACCAAAACCCTCCTAAAGTAACTTGACTGCCGCCAAATTACAAGACCTAGGAATAAGCTCCAGCAAAGTTGGAGGGCCTGGATCTATAGATACTATGGAAGAACCCATCGTCCTGCCTTCCTCAATATCAACTGATTCATTCCATAGAAACCAAATTCTAACACAAAAGCCATGAGCTTCCACACTATAAGAGAACCAAAAGCTAGCTTCTAAAACACTCTAACCGCCTTTCAACCACTTATTGCTCGTCTTGTCCTCGGAGACCATCCAAACCTCCAACTTCATTTAAAAAACTTATGCGGATCACCTGTAACTAACCACTCTTTCATCGCAATAGTGTTCCGAAATCAAAAACACTTGTGAGCCTTCAAGGTCAGTCCAAATTTCCTCGCGTTGCACCTTCTGATTATTCTTATTCCGACAATATCTAGACTTCCTATGGGGAGCCGAATATTTCTCTTCAAATAATTGGAGCTATGTTTATTGTTTATCCCCCCCTGAGCTCTCCGGTTCTTTCTGGAATTGTGCGAGAGAGAAACGTCCCTCAATTATGATGACATACAAAGGCTATGGTCAAAATCCTCACAAGCAATCCCCGATTTGGGTTTTCCAACCACCCGTTCAGCCACAGCCCCAACCTGTTGGACTTCCTCTCCCTTGGATCTAATGATAGCATAATTATTTGTAAGGCCCATATTAATGACATCCTCCACCTCCTTAGACTTTAAACAACCATCCAAGATGGGCAAACTTAATAAATTTTCCTTTATCCCCTCATTAACACGTGCAGTCTTGCAAATAATTCTATTTTCATCTGTTGCCTCTTTCTCCACGTGCTGCAGCACTTCCTCGTGTTCCACCGCATCCTCGATTTGCGTAAGAACCATCCCCTGACCAGCAACATTATACCCCAAACCCATAATTAATTCCTCCCCTATGTTCATTTCCTCCTCTTCCATACCCGACAAGTAGCCTTTATCTCTGTTCCCATACAGCATAACTGTCTGTCATCTTCCTCAGAACACCTCTTGGAATCCACCTTCTCCGACGAGTCCATGCTTCTTCCTGCCGGAGAAAATACAACCTCACCTTCGTTTACTTCCCTCTTTCGAAACAAAGGTTCACTGCTAGCTTTGGGAAATTCCACTATAATTCTAAATACATCTCTCCCTGTTTCCAATTCAACCACTTCATCAATAAATTCTTTCGTACTAGTTGCTATCAGAATCGAGATCTCCTCGCAGCCCAATTCTTGAAGTGCGTTTTCTCCCAGCTCTAAGCAATCTCCCCATTGTTGTGCAATCCTCTTAAAGGTGCTATGATTCCAGCAATGAAGTGGCATTCCAACCAGCTTAATCCATGTTACTCTCTCCGACGCTCTGTAAGATTCTGACCAAGGTTGAACTTCCTGGAAAACCTCATTTAAAAACGACCAGTTCTGCTCCTTCAAAATTCTGTACGACTCCTCATCATCTATTTGCAATAAGTAATCTCTCCCTCCCAGAAACTTGGTCTTAATTTCTCCTAGACCTCCTGCTTGTAAACTGTCTACCACCTGACTTAGAGAGCAAAACGACGCCATCATTCCTACGAGGCACTTCTGGAGCTTTCGAACAACTTCCTCATCTACATCGCCCTGAATTAACCTAGTCCTCCTTGCTAGAACCTCCGGACTATCTCCACTAACGCTTTTCCTGGTGTAGCAATGGGAGATGAAGGATACTTCTGTTTCTAGATTTGTTTCCTAGCTCCATACCGAGCTTCTTTGACTGATAATCGATAACCAAATAACCAGAATCCATTAAATCTTTGGACTGCTCTAACTGTGTCATCTCTATTGGAAAATCTAACAAACCCAAAGCGTTTTCTTGTTCTATCATTTTTTCTTGCTATATAAGAACTAATCACATCTCCATGCCTCCCGAATAGTTGACTCAACCCCCTCCAATGATACCTAGGTGGAATATTTTGCACAAACAAAGTTTCTATCTCGCCAACCTTCCCTGAGCTTTGAGCCATCTGTCCTAAACCTTTCTATAAATCCCAGACAATACCAATGCCACTAGACTGGAGATGATACCCATAAAATAGACTTAATGAAACATCCTAAACAAAGAAAGAAATTTTTGAAAAACACTTGATTTTTAGAGAGAAGCTGGATCTTCTCTCTCTAAGTCCACCCCCATAACTTTCTTCTTGTGTACAATAAGATGGCATTATGGTCTGATAGCGACTTCGGGAGTAATATTTGAACAATATCCGAAGAAAGAACCAAAAAACTTGAATCCACAAGAAAGCGATCCAGTCTAAGGAAGGGGAATCCCTATTATTCCACCACGTAAAATTGCCTCCGGCTAATGGCAAATCCATCAGCTTAGCCTGAAAAACAAAATCCCTGAAAATCCTCATAGAATGTCAATTTTGGGACTTCCCATCCTTCTCTTCTTCATTCAAATACGCGTTAAAATCCCCTCCCACACACACTGTACATTCCACTGGCCCTAAGAAATATAGCAATTCTTCAAAAAAGGCATGATATAGCTTTTAGCACGCTGGTCTTGCCTTGCATTTAGACTTTATGAGGAGTTGAGCAGTTTGCTACATGTCATTTTGAACTTCTCCCGTTTGATGATAGAGAATGTGTGCTTGTTTTGATGACATCTTTGCCTCCCTTTAAAATAAAGTCCCTTTTCCCTAGTGTCAAATATTACATACTCATAATGCATAAATTTCTCACGCAACTCACTTCACTTAACCTTTTCACAATGTAAGGTTGAGAGTAGTCTTTCTGACTCTACTTCTGCAAATTTGTTTACTTCTGCCAGGGGGAAATAGTGAGACTTTTTGCTAATGATCAGAACAAAATAAAATGTGGTAAGTCTGTGTGAACCTGAGTTGTTAGACCTCATGGTCATTGAAATTTCTGTATCTAGAAGTAATACTTAATGTTTCTCATTTATTTTCACTTTCTATTTATGTGGCAAAGTTATCTGTTTGCATTGTTCGTCAAAACTCAATTCACTTGTTTAAATGATAATGGATAGTAAGTTTGTTGTCATGTGCTTGATTTTCTGCATTGCAAGTCTGTTAGAAAAAATGATTTATTTTGAAATTTATCTGTCCCTAAACCTTTTGCAGAGGTTTGAACCTGTTTATTGATGGCCCTTCTCTCTCTCTCTCTCTCTCTCTTCTTCTTCTTCTTCTTCTTCTTCTTCTTCTTCTTCTCCTTTCTGCATATATATCTTGTTATGATTTCACTGTTATGTATCCGGATGTATGCTTCTCAAGTCTTACAATGATATTATATATTGAATATGTATAGCTTTGTTAGATCATTTTCTTTTTGTTACTTAACAATCAACAGAATGTTATTCAACTTCTACAAAATATTATTTGGCATCATTTCCTAAATTAGTAGTAAAGATTATGTTTATGATTCATAGATGCACGTCAAAAAGAATGTGGTGTTGAACAGTTGTGTATTGTGTACACGTGCATATATTGATGCATTACATTTTCTTTTGTTTTGTTTGGCATCTTTGCATTATAAAATAAATTTCTGATTAGCTGCTTTGCAGATCTAGAAATGCAAAATGAGATCGACACTTGCATTTCCAGTGGCCAAGCAACATTTACTGTTCTGTTGCTGGTAGGTTTAATCACTGCTCTTCCAAAGTTACCTGGAATTTTCTTCCCTTCAAGATTTCTTTTTACTTGTGTATTTGTTTTTAGTTACTATGCCTAAATAATCTATTTTCCAAAAGAAGTGGCGATATGTGAATTCAAATAAAAGGTTGACAATTGTATTTGCAGGAGATTTCATTTTATTTATCCCTCAATTCTTATAGTTTAGCAGTTCTGCTGTTTCTGTCAATCTAAGAAGAGAATAGTGTTTCATACATTAAATTTATGGAGAATTGAGCCAATCATGAATCTTTACCCAACTTTATTGGATTAGGATGAGAAGATATATCCTCCCCCTTCTCTATCTCAAATGGTTTATGAGTTGCAGAGCTTTTTGTCAAATGAGTTTGGGAAAATTGTTTCTAGGGAAGAGATAAGATTTACCATGGAAGACTAATAAAAATGGTGGTCAATGCCCATTGCTGACATACTTTTTATATTCGGTATGTGGAATGATTAAGAAAAAGAAATGAAGGCTAACAAGTAAAAACTTGGAACCTGGTGAGATATATGTTTAATTTCAGTGTCTTGGCTTTTTAGTATAGTTCATCTTAATTTGAAGGTTGTATGTTGTTTTGCAATTCTTATGTGGGAAGAAAGTTGACTACCTTTTCTTGGGGGATTTGGGTGGTGGGTGGATTGATTTGAGCAAATTGCGGTTTTCTTCAAATAGTAATGCAGAATAACCTTGTTTATAAATTTGGAAATAAAACGTTAACCAAGCAATTTAAAGTAAATGTTTGGTGGCACATTTTAATTCATGTATGTATGTGTGTATATAAATGTGGAACAGAAACAGTCATGACTGTAGAGCCAATAGGATTTTGAAACTTATGTTCACTCACTCTCTCAACAGATGGATTCCGCTGAGAATTGGGAGCCAGCAACATTGACTTTGAGACGTTCAAGTTACCAAATTAAAATCAACAGCACACAAGCTGTGGAGATTTCAGAGAAATATTCGAAAGAATTGTCGGTATGCTTTGAATTTCTTTTTCATTTTCTCCAAAAGTAAAGATTTCATATGGAAGTTTTTTAACTTACTATCTTAGTTTATTCAAAAATGGTTTGCTACTAAGGTTTAGTTGATATTAGTAGAATTCTTACTCTGCAGTTTGGTTGAATTGACTATATGCTAATTCATATAAATCTTGTCTGATCATGGTCTAATATCTATGTTATTTGGACGAGGGTGTGAGTGTTGGATATGGGTATGAGTTTGACACCGGTGTGTTCAATCATTTTAAGTTTTTCTATGTATTTGGAGGGTCCTTAGAATGTCGTATCCCACACATGTCCAAATATGTGTTTAACATGGAATAACACTAGTCTTTATATTGTTATCATTGTATGGATGCAAAAGTTTACATCTATTTCAGGAAGGTATGCACAATTCTTTTGTTTATGAATATTTTACATCTTTCTTGTTGCCAATGTAATGACAGTAAACACCAACTATTCTAGATGTTATTGTGAAACACTTCTCTGAAAGAATTAGTAAAACGGAGCTAGGCTGAATTTTATCCCCTATGGAAAATAGTTAATGAGAATAATGATATTCTTTCAACCTTAAACCAAATAAGAAATTAAGTTCGGAAACTAATGTGTCTCTTCCAAGTTTCAATGGTGAATGATAAAACTGGGAAGAGATTCATTTAATTTGTTTAGAATACAATAATGGTCCATTGCAGCAAGGTATGCATTCTATGTAAAAATGAGTCATGAATATTGTGCCAACTGGCTAGCTCATTAACTTGAGATGGTATGTGCATTTTTAACTTGATGCTGCAGATCAAAGTACCGAGTGGGCTCTCAACACAGTTTGTTTGACATGTTCCGATGGGTCTTCACGTCCCTTTAGCACATATAATGTTCGGTAATACATAGACATGGCCAATATTTTAATATTTTTAAAAGAAAACTGATACTATATATATTTGTATTTCCCAACTAATTATGATACATTTTGCTAATTATTAAGCATGTCAATGAGACTAGTATTAAGTTTGCTTTATTTACGTTCTTGATTTTGCTACTATATAATTTTGTGAAAGAAAAAACTGCCCTAATTATATACACATTCCTGATTTTTCTAATATAAATAATTGTGCACATGAAAAACGCTATAAATAAAATCTGATTTTGCTAATTAGATTTATTGCTTATAGGAAGGTTTTAGATAATAAACCTGTAGGTTATGCAATAGATAAGTTAGTATTTTAATATAACACTAACTCTTAGAAAGTTAGATAGATAAGGATAACTACTAAGTAGTTTACTTCTAATAGAAAACTTACTCCTAACTTTTCCTATAAAAAGATGTATTTTCACCATTCACAATATATAATAAAAAAGAGTTCCTTTTCTTCTCCACTATGTTGTTTACTCTTTATCAACATGGTATCAGCTAGGTAACCGATCCTTCACCTAAATCTAGCTGATTTTTTTTCTTTTTTACCCTAAATCTTGCCGTCGATCATGAATTCCACCACTTCTTCATCGGAGGTCACTTCGGAATTCCTCATTAATTCACCCCATTATGATGTTTCTTCAGTCTTTATCACGTGTCACCGATTGAATGGTAACAATTATATCCCTCACTCTCAAACTACTACTCGGCCAAAGAAGGGGACACCTTGGTGTGACTCTTGTAAGAAGGTTTACCATCTACGGGATTCCTATTGGAAATTACATGGCAAGCTTACTGATGGGAAGTCTTCAAAACAACATCAACAACGTGATACTCAAGAAAACTGTGTTGTGAATACTGATTTACAAGGAAGTTCGTTTACTAAAAAACAAATGGAAGAGTTGCAGCAGTTTTTTAGTCAGTTAAACACTCATTCCCAATCAGTACCTGCAGGTAGAATTCCTTCTGCTACTTTGGCTAATACATCCACTACTCCTACTTGGGTTGTGGATTCTGGTACAAGTGATCATATGACAGGTGATCTTCGGCTCTTTCACACTTTTCATGCCGACTCGTCTATCTCTCATATTCGAACAGTTGATGGTTCTCTATCCGGTGTTGCCGGTCATGGGTCTATTCGAATAAATCAGGACATTTTTGTTATCTCATGTTCTTTATGTTCCCAATCTCACTTCCAATCTTATCTCCATTAGCAAGTTGTCTGCCGATTTATGCTGTATCACGAAATTTAACTATGATTTTTGTGAATTTCAGGATTCTAGCTCGGGGAAAGTAATTGACAGTGCTAGGCTTTGTGGGGGTCTTTACCTACTTCCAACAACTTTATTTTCCCACCCATCTACTTCCTACCATGATATACAACAATTTCCTTTACTTGAACCTTCAAACGATGTTGTGTTATTGCATTTTCGTTTAGGACATCCCAGTTTCTTTTATCTTGCAATATTGTTTCCACATTTGTTTGTCAATAAGAGTCCAAAATCTTTTTCTTGTGATATTTGTCCACTTGCTAATCAAACTAGGAGTGTTTATCTGCCTTCTCCATATAAACCGTCCAAACCATTTACCATAATCCATAGTGATATTTGGGGACCATCTCGGGTCACATCTTTACATGGGTTTCGGTGGTTTATTTCATTTATTGATGATCACACTCTTACTACCTGGACCTTTCTCATGAAAACCAAATCTGAAGCTTGTGAAATATTTAAACGGTTCCATAAGATGGTTGAAACCCAATTTCAATGTTCAATCCAAATGTTTCATTCTGACAATGGTAGTGAGTATTTTGCCAATGTTTTGGGTTCTTTCTTTCAGGAAACCGGGATTATTCATCTTACTTCGTGTGTCAATTCTCCTCAACAAAATGGGATTGCTGAGCGAAAAAACAGGCATCTTCTTGAGGTTACTCGGTCTCTACTTTTTTCCACAAATGTTCCTAACTATTTTTGGGGGAAGCCCTTTTAACTGCCACTTATTTGATTAACCGTCTCCCTAGTAAACCGTTACAATTTAAGTGTCCGAGAGAGTTTTCTTCAGTTTTTTCTCAATTTTAAACCGATGACTTCATTGTTACCCCTTAGAGTTTTTGGTTGTACTGTATTCGTTCATAACAATGTTCCTTTCGGGTCCAAATTAGATCCTCGAGCATTTCGGTGTGTGTTTCTGGTTTATTCATCGACTCAAAAGGGTTTTCGGTGTTATTATCCTCGTACAAAGAAATTCTTTATTACTATGGACGTTACTTTCTTTGAAAAAACACATTTTTTTTCCTTAAAACTGCTACTTAGGGGGAATCATATAATGAATATCAGTTTATTGACTCACAACAATTGTCACTTGATTTGCAGTCAGCTCTTTTTGATCAACCAGCACCGTCAAACCAGTTAAACCAGTCGAATAAGCCTACAAAATCGCTACAGCCAGACCAAACAACACTACCGAACCCAGAAAACGTATCCTTGCCAAACCAGTCCACCGAAACACATTTACCTCGGCATGATCAACATATCACTTCGCCTTAAATACCTCAATCCGAGTTGCAGATTTACAAGAGACGACAAAAACCAATTTCTAAATCAATCCCTGAACCTAATCCCGAGTTTCCCACACAGCATGGACACTGTCATGAACTGGACCCGAACGAGAATCCTTTGGAGAACGAAGAAGGTAATCAGAGTTCTTTCACTGAATTAAATGCTTTAATTGATGATAATGACTTGTCGATTGCTCAAAGGAAAGGAGTAAGAAAATGCAGAAATTATCCAATTGAGAGATTTGTTGCATATGGAAAGCTAACGCCTTGTTTTAAGAACTTTACAGCAAGTGTAGATAGCATTACTGTTCCAGAAACAGTGGAAGAAGCATTGAAAGATCCCAAGTGGAAAAATGCAGTAGAAGAGGAATTAAAACCACTGGAAAACAACAATACTTGGATTATAGTTGATCTTCCGAAAGATAAAAAATCAGTCGGTTGCAAATGGGTATTCACGGTAAAATAAAAAGCTGATGGTAGCATTGAAAGAGATATAAGGCGAGATTAGTGGCGAAAGGATTCACTCAATTTTTTGGAGTTGATTATCATGAAATGTTTGCTCCGGTAGCAAAACTAAACACTGTGAGAGAGTTACTGTCATTAGCAGTTAATGAGAATTGGGTGTTTCATCAGTTAGATATCAAAAACGCATTTCTAAACGGAAACTTGGAGGATGAAGTATATATGCGAATTCCACCGGGTGTGAAGAGTAATACAGGAAAAGCATGTAGATTACTAAAGTCCTTGTATGGACTTAAGCAATTTCCAAGAGCCTGGTTTGACAGATTTACAAAGGTGATTATTCAGGATAGTTACAAGCAATGTCAATCAGATCACACTTTTTTTGTCAAAACATCTTCAAACAACAAAAAAGCAATTTTGATTGTCTATGTGGATGATATCATTCTAACAGGTGATGATTGTATGGTGATAGAAAGATTGAAAAAGCTACTGGCGAAAGAGTTCGAAACCAAAGACTTGTGAACTTTACGGTATTTTTTAGGCATGGAGGTCGCAAGGTCAAAAGAAGGAATAGTGATCAACCAAAGGAAATATATCCTTGATCTACTATCAGAAACTGGAATGAAGAGATGTAAGCCGGTTGAAACACCCATGGAAGCAAATCTGAAGCTAAGGAGAGAAGAATTGGGAAGTCCTGTGAACAAAGATAGTATCAAAGGCTAGTAGGTAAACTAATTTATTTATCACTTACTAGACCTGATATTGCATTCCCTGTCAGTATAGTGAGTCAATAAATGAATGATCCAAGAGAAGAATATTTAGAGGCTGTGAATAGAATTCTAAAATACTTGAAAATGACACCAGGACATGGATTAATTTTTAGAAAGAGATGATAGAACAGTAAGAATTTTTTCGGATTCAAGTTGGGCAGGTGAATTAACGGATAGAAGATCTACAACTGGTTATTGTTCATTTGTTTGGGGAAATCTGGTTACTTGGAGAAGTAAAAAACAGGCGGTGGTGTCTCGAAGTAGTGCAGAAGCAGAATTTAGAGCAATGTCACTTGGAATTTGCGAAGGAATTTGGCTTCAAAGAATGTTAACTGAGCTGGGCTTATGTGCCAACAAATGGTTTGAACTTCAAAGTGACAGTAAATCTGCAATAAGTATTGCAAAGAATCTAGTTCATCATGACCGAACGAAGCATGTGGAGATTGACAGACATTTCATCTCTGAAAGGTGAATGGTGGAACGGTGAAGCTCAATTGTGTTTCAACGAAGAATCAATTAGCAGATATTCTCACCAAAGCACTTCCAAGAATTACCTTTGATGAGATTATATCCAAATTGAGTCTTCAACATTTACTCCCCAACTTGAGGGGGAGTGTAGGTTATGCAATAGATAAGTTAGTATTTTAATATAACACTAACTCTTAGAAAGTTAGATAGATAAGGATAACTACTAAGTAGTTTACTTCTAATAGAAAACATACTCCTATCTTTTCCTATAAAAAGATGTATTTTCACCATTCACAATATATAATAAAAAAAGAGTTCCTTTTCTTCTCCACTATGTTGTTTACTCTTTATCAACAAAACCTATGATTTTTAAATGATATAATTTATCTTGTCATATGGTATACTTATGCTCATTGATATAGACTCAATCTACAAATTTGTGTATAAAGCAATTGTTATTATTGTTGTTTTATTTTACAATCTTATCTCGGTGTAAATTTATGTATAAACGATGAAAAATATTCTTAGACCGACATTTTATTACTTTCTAATGCAACGTTGTTAATGTTTTCGCAGAATGCGGGATACACTTGTTTTGACCATGAGAATGTTCCAGAGCAAGGTACTTGACTCATCATAATTTGTTTAAGAGCGTTCTGAATAGGTGCATATGGTTTTTGTTGTGCTGGTGGTTGTTTCTAGGTTGAACTCCTACTGTATCATTTCGAACAAAATGACCATCTTTGTCAACAAAATTTGAGTTCTGTTTCAAGTACGTGATTATGATATCACATACAGAAACTCCACTTCTAGGTTAGAAAGATGAAATTAAATGAGTGAGTATACATGATAAGAAGATACCCAAAACTATGGCTATTGATTAGGTATAATGCCCCTAATGTTTGATTAAATAGTCACTTTTGTCCCTATTCTTTTTTCTTTTCTTTTTTCTCAAGCATTTTGGCCCCAATGTATCATTTTGGGGTAAAAAGGACTCTCTCCAAATGGAAACCATAAGTTTACAAACAGTTAAATTTCTAAAATAGGGGTATTTTTATCCTAAAATGAAATGTTGAGGGCCAAAATGCTCCAGAAAAAAGGAATAAGGGCCAAAGTAACTATCAGTCAAACATTAGGAGCCTTTTTGACCTAAATGGAACGTTGGGGCCAAAGCATAGTCACATGAATCGCGGTATGCTCGGTATGGAAACGTGGAACGGGATCGCAATTCGCTAGGTCCCTAAAATTCGGTACGATGGGAGGTAGACTTCTTTCGGATCGCTCCGGTGCGATGTACCATATAAATTGGTACAATGTACCAGTTTCTTAGATAGAGATCAATTATAGAAGAAATTTAGAAATGTAGAAAGTTATGCAAATCCAAGTAATATAACATAGGGACCAAAACATAAACACAAAATAATTCAAAACTCAAAATCTAATATGCATAAATCCGATTTAAGGACTAAAATAAATTGAATAAAAAATGAGCATGGCTCCTTTAGGATAAACCCACGCGAACAAAAATGGACCACCCTGGACCCAATTAAACGGCCGTGTTTAACCAAACTATCTAAAGCCTTTAAAATTTAAACTAAAAATATATCATAATTTATGCTAAACCTAATCCCTTCCCCTGCGCCGTTTTGAACCTCTTCTCTTCTTCATCCTCTACTCCTCACACCCGCATGGCCGAAACTCTTCACAGCCCCAGACCCGAGCAACTTTTTAAAGCAGGTGCGCTTTTTAAAACACTGACTACAACGATGATGGGCTCTTCCAGTTCCGGTGAGACCACGATGACAACACCTAAGGTAAGGCTCTTCAACTCACTGTTTTTTTTCTGGTTTCCCCGAATGGTTTCCCCTCTCCCTCTTATTCTCCTCTGATTTTTTCTCTCTCAAACCCCCAATCCCTTTATTTTTTTCTGATTGCATCTCCTCTTATCCCTGTTGCAAAACTACAATGTACCGAATCGTGATTTTGAAACGATCCGATCGCGATTTTGAAACAATCCGAACGTGTTCGTACCGCATTTTGGATCGCAACGTTCAGTACGTAGATCGTGGCCAAATGAGCGATTTATGTAACTATGGGCCAAAGGGCTTTAAGAAAGAATAGGGCCAAATTAAATAATCATTTTGGGGGTTAATTTTGACATTACGCGTATTGATTATCATAGATTAACTACACCTTTAAGGTGGAGTTCTTCTAGTTTTGAATGCAATCTTATGAATGGGTAGTCCAACACAAGTGTCAAGAGACGAATAGAACCATAAAGAATGCCGATGAAATGTTTGTCTGATCTTTATTCAGATATAGTTATTAGGATAAAATCAATATGATGATGCATTCTAAGCCTGTTATTTCTGAACTAGGACATAAAAGGAAGATTAGACACCAACATAAGTAGGAGTCTATTACTTATTATGCTCTTCTAGTTCTATGAAGTATTTAAGTGAAATATATCGTTAGCGTTTACTTTTTTTTTTAATTTAATTTATGGAGCAGGCCTTGGATGACAAGAGGAAAGGAAGAGCGTAGGCAGTATAGCTTCAGTCCCATAGTAATTTATTCTTTTTCATAAATAGAAAATTAAGAGGAAAATAAACACATCAATGTGTTGTATCTTAGTTTGAAACAATAATAGAATATTAAGTTGTATTTTAGAGTTCATTGTTTAGTCCACTTGTAGGAATTAGGAATCATGTATCATAAGATCAGAGCATATTGTGGAACTATTTCAGCCATGAACCAGAAAATGGTGGAAAATGAGATACCGGTTGGTTGCCCCATTTCCACAACTCGGCCACCCTATCTAAACCCTTATGTCATCGGAAGCCAAATGCTGTGATTCCATCCCAGAACGGTTTCGGATTTTGTCGGCTTTTTATGCTTTGTTCTGTAAGTAATAGCATCTAAGAGTTTGATTTGGAACCTACGAGATTGATATTTATTTTAAGTGGAAATGTCGAGTTTACAATCAAATCTCGGTGATTTAATTCCTAGTTGTCAAAAAATCTGCATTCCTCATTATGTTGGACTAGGAGAGCTTATCAAGCGATTCGATCTTGAGTTGAGAACGATTTTTTGTTCGACTCAATTGTTGTTTGTTAAATTCGATAAAATTTTGCATGACTTGTTTATTAAAAGAATTTGTTGTTCGACTCGATTCATTCGTTAAGCTAACTAAAATTTTTATTTTGTTTTTAGCTTTATGTAAAATCTAGCAAATTAATAATTATATTGTTGTTTATTAAAAAATTAATAAATTAGTACTAATTATTAATTAGTAATTTAGTATTTCTCTTATTATCTATTAATAAATTATTAATTATTAATTAGACTCTTTTAATGAAATAATTTTTAATGTAATTATTAAAAAAAAATTAACGAATTGCTTACGAGATTATTGAGACAAGTTTAAATTCTCAAGTTGAATTTAAATTTGAGCAACTCATGGCTGGTCAACTCATTAACACCCATATATTGGACAATTAGAGCTTCAAATTATGCAAAAATGTGTATTATAAAAGCTATCAGAACTAATTTAGCCCTGATGTTAAATGCTTACTTTTTGTCAATTTGACTTTTATTTTCTTTTTAAGCTAAATGTGGTCCTTAACTCTCTTTTTTTTTTAAAAAAAGTGAAATTGGTGAGATTTAACAAAAATGACCAAGGAACTATTAAAATTTTTACATTACTATTGTAGTAATCTACGAGATAGTTCACATGTATTTTATTGTTATATGGTGCAGTGTTGTATTTTATAATCTATGTAATTATAAAAAATTTTATATTTGTTTAACTGATTTAAGTGCTCTTATATTTTATAATTGGTCTAGGTTTGACTCCTCATTTGAATATCTTTATTTCTTTCTTTTTCTATTGACACGTGTCACCTCTTGATTGGATAATTAACTTATTAAATAAAATTAAAATTAGGATCAAATTGATTGAATGTACTAGTATTGAGGATCAAATATATAATTATACCAATTTTATTAACTACCACGTAAGCATTTCTATTAAATGTTAATGAAAAGTGGCTATATTGGAACCAATTAAATAGTTAAGTGGTCATATTGACTCAATTTTGAAAATGGTGGTCATATTGACAACAACCCCATAGTTTGGTGGTCATTCATATAGTTTACCCAAATAGTTATTTTGATTTTGATTTTTTATATTTTATATTAAGACAAAAATCCTCTTAACATTTAATTAAATAGTAAATTTGGTCCTTATTCTTTTTTAATCATTTTAGCCTTCAACGTTTCATTTTATACTCATTACTATTTTGATTTATACTCATTACTCTTTTTTAAACCAATTTGATGATGTCATGTGGCATCATTTAATTGGTTGCTGTAAATTAATAAAAAATAATTATTTGTTTAAATATTGATAAGACATCATACGCGGAATGCCACATCAGTATTCCAGTCTGTGTAGATTTGCCAAATCAGCATGAACCATTTAATCGTTAGTCAACTAGTGTTTCCATCCAATTAGGGGGTATTTTGCCCCGAAATGGAATATTAGGGTCAAAATGCTTTAAAAAAGAATAAGGATCAAAATGATCATTTTATCAAACGTTAGAGAGTAATTTTGCCATTATGTCGTAAAATGGGAATTTCATTAAAAAATAAAATATACATGATATGTGTCTTCGGCACATAATTGTATGAGTGAGTGCATGTTTAAAAGGCTATATAATATTTTTTTTTAAATGTATATATCTAAACAATGTGCCACCATCTGAATGAGGGATTAAATTTATTGAATTAATTTAAAATTAAGATTCAATTGATAGAATACTTAAGTAATGATGATTAAATGTGTAATTATACCAATTTTGGTAACCATTGCATCACCTCATCCATTAAATATTAACGACAAGTTTCTTGATTAAAAAACTTAAATATTTAAGTGATATGCTCGATAATCAAAATGAAGGGTTTATATAATTAAGTGATTACTGTCGTAACCGTCTTTCGGTTGTGCCCCGGAATTGGGCTTCGACTTAGGAAAATGGATTGGAGTCGCCACCGATCATTTATTTAAAAATAAATGGGTTGATCGGATACCCTATTTCTTACCTGATCTGCGTCTTACCAGAGATGTGTCGGATTCGGGAGTCGGTTACAGTCAAGGAAGGGCTAGCACCCTTGAACTGCCCTTTCGGTACTACGTAATTTCCAGTTGTCTTTATCATGAAAGTTGTAATTTTAAATTAAAAGGTAAAATTTGATCCTAAATTACTTACCACTGATTAATTAGATGAAGACCATTAAGAAGAAAACGTTACGTTTGGAGTGATGAAAATAAATAAGATATAAACAACTACACAACCAATGATACGAATAAGAGGAGACAATACAAATAAACTAATGATAAATAAGATAAATAAAGGAAAAGAAATAAAAAAAAATACTAAATAAATGTATATATACATATATGCATGAATAGAAAAAAACATACAAACAAAGAAATGAAAATTATGTAAAAACAAAGGAATGCAAATAAAACATGTATTAAAAAAAGGAAACGCAATAAAATAAAAATAAATAAAGTAAATGAAATAAATAGAATATACATATAATAATAAAAAGAAGGAAAAAAATATATGTTTATATACGCTAAAAATAATACTTAAAATAATAAACGTAATGATGGTTATGTATACATATATATATAAATATAATAAAATAAAATAAAAATGTACATAAGATATGTATATATATATAAGGGAATAAAGTATAAAAATAATAATAATGAAAATATAATACATAATAATAGTAGGGATTAGATTGAAAACAAAATAAATTCAAGGGTCAATTTACAAGGATTTCAGATTAAAAAAAACGGTTCAGGGGACTAAATTAAATGTTTTAAAACCTGGAGAGCCAAAACGCGAATCTCTCATTTCTTGTTAAAAACACGCGGGTCTGAGGGATTCGGTGGATCGGGTCGTCGGGTCTGATGGTTTAAGTACAAAAGTCAAAAAAAAATTATAATTCCTCATTTGATATGCTTCAAGCCGTGAGACCCTCCCCCTGTTCTTATTTTTCTCTCTTATGTTCTTCATGGATGAAGAACAAGAGCGGGTTTTCCAGAATCCGGCCGTTGTGCCGCCTCACCGCCGCCTTCCATCGGCGGCAAAAAATTTTTTTTGGTTTTTTTTTTTTTTTTTTTTTTTAAAAAACTTTTCGAATCCCCACTTCCAAAAACCCAAAAATGATTTTGTTTTAAAAAACCTCGGGGCTAGATCTAAAACGAGATCTCGAAAGCCCTTGCTCATCGACCAGAAAAGTTTTTTTTGGTTGTCTTCCGAATCAAAATGCAGTACAAGGCATAGAAATCAACATGCAAAGGCAAAAAACGGATGAACAAAGGTAAAAACACTGCTACCTTTTTATTTCCTTTCGAAACGATTACAATAGCTCTGATTTGCCTCGCGAATTTTTGAGTATTTTGTGCCTAAAGCTCTCTGGTATTTTCCTATCTATAAAAATCCCCCTCGTAGTGTTACAAATGGATCTATTTATACTGAAAAACTAACTATTTTTTAGACTCCTATTTAAAATAGAACTCTAATGCGTTGTTGTTTGTTGATGATGGTGTTGGCCTCATGTGCTTTCCTTGCGCCGGAGAACTCGGACTGTTGGAGGTGAGAGTCATACGACCATGAGATTCGGGCGTGGGACGAGGCGCCGCTTGGGAGGCTAGGGTTCTGGAAACCCTAGCTCGCTGGAATGGTTTGCATGCAGTGGGTCTTGGGCTGTTTTATTTTCGTGTAATGGGCCTGTAATATGTAACCCCATGAATAAACAAATAAAATATTATATTCTATAATATAGTTTTGAAATAATAAAAAATATTATAAAAACTATATCAATGGATGAAATTCGATGTCTTCAGTTGCCCCTCTTTGCTCATTATCGTATAACGAAAATGTAGCAAAGATTAAAAGACATGAATTTCGGTCATATCGAATATCCTCTGTCACAGAGTTGAAATCCGATATTGAAACTGGTTCATCAAATTGAACTAAAATATGAAATGACTCCCTCGTCGTGAGGTCAAGTTGAAACTGGAAAATTTTGAGCATGAAATCCTTCGTCGTGGAGTTGAAACCGAGCTCAAAGTTTCTGGCTAGTGGCCTTTGAATCGTCTTCTGGCTCAAGGTACTTCGTCGTGAAGCTGAAACTTGACCTGAAGACTTTGGTGTTATGGTGTTACAGATAACACTTTCGTCGCGAAGTTGAGTCAATCTGTTTGTGAAGTTGGAATTTGTATATGGCTCATTCGTCGTGAAGTTGAGCCTGAGAATTGGATATCCTTCGTCGTGAAGTTGAAATCCAAGTATTGTTCCGAGTCCAATATCCTTCGTTGTGAAGTTGAAATTGGCTCTGAAATTGAGAAATATTTGTTGACAACCAGCGGTCCCTTCGTCGTGAAGTTGAATTTGCGTTGTCTGGAGTCCAATATCCTTCGTTGTGAAGTTGAAATTGGCTCTGAAATTGAGAAAAGTTTGTTGACAACCAGCGGTCCCTTCGTCGTGAAGTTGAACTTGCGTTGTGTGGAGTCCAATATCCTTCGTTGCGAATGTTGAAATTGGCTCTGAATTTATTGACAACCAGTGGTCCCTTCGTCGTGAAGTCGAACTTGCGTTGTCTGGAGTCCAATATCCTTCGTTGTGAAGTTGAAATTGGCTCTGAATTTGAGAAATGTTTGTTGACAACCAGCGGTCCCTTCGTCGTGAAGTTGAACTTTCGTTGTCTGGA